ATATTATTATAATATAATATATATTATATCTGTCTCTTATACACATCTAGATGTGTATAAGAGACAGTTATAATATAATATATATTATATTATATATAATATTATATATTATGTCATATATGTATAAATATTATATATTATATCATATATAAATATAAGACAAAGTAAAAAAAACTGTGGCGAACATAATAACTATTAAAATAATAATTCTAGATCGGTGATAAAATAAAAAAATAATCCGGATAACACAATGCAAGCACTGTCAACCGAATAAAAATTGAAACACGAATGAGAACGAATAATTTGAACTGTGAGGTCGAAGAGATGCAGAGCAGGCAGCGTCGAGCATAATCGAAGATTCGCTGGGACAGAAGAGGGACCCCGTGCGGGACAATGATCGCGGTCCCGCCGCGTGGACCGTGGATGAAAAAGATGGAGGGCAATCGGAAAAGGAGGTCGAGGCACCTTTCTCTCCTTGAGAGAAGAAGCCGCTTCTGCGAGAAGGCGCGGTCGGCCGACACACGACTGTTTGCCTAGAATAGAGCATAGTTCACGCCGGTAGCTCTGGCTGCTACCGGTTGTTCTCGGTACTGGCGAAAACGAGGATCTGTTCGAACCGGGGCGACTCGCGCGACGCGAACCGGACGATCGGCTCGAGTATGGTTGGCTCGCTGCTCCCAACCAGTTTGAAACCGAGACTTTCGAAATGGGAGCTGCGAGGGAGAGAGAGAGAGAGAGGGGGGGGGAGAGACGCGGAGAAACTGTCGTTTTTAACACTTTGGGGACATTCGATGACAGGATAGAAGCGTCTTTATGGCATTTATTTATGGCTGCCAGGAAGACTTACAATCTACTTTGTTGCTCTTTGCGACTTTCTTTATTGATTTTAAGTCTGTTGAAATTTAGTGAAGAATTGTTTGTCTCTCTTTAATCTTGTTTATAAAAGAGATTTCTAATCTACTTTGTTGCTCTTTGTTGCTCTCTTTGTTAATATTAAATCTGTTGCAATTTAATCAATATTTCTTTACTGGTCTCCTTTTAATCTTTTTTATATAAAAAATATCTAATTTATATTGTTGCTCTTTATCTTTTTGTCGGAATTTAATGTAAATTTCTTTATTAGTCTCTCTTTAATCTCTTTTATCGAAAATATTACTTTATTAATCTTAAATTTGTCGAGATTCAATGAAAAATCATCTGCACCTCTTCAATCTTGTTTATCGAAGAGATTTCCAATCTACTCTGTTGCTCTTCGCCGTCCTCTTTATCGTCGCCCATATTTGTCAGAATTTAATGGAAACTAGTTTGAAACCGAGACTCTCGAAATGGGATTTGTGTGGACAGTCTTCGCGGTGTTTATGGTAGCCGTGAGACGAGTGTTTGCCGCGAGTTCGAAAAAGAGCACTGTCATTCGGGAAATGGCACTTGTCGCGAGGAGAAAAGGATCGATGTTCGCAACGCTCTCGGGATAGCTTGAAAAATGATTGAAAAATTAGGTCGACGGAGACGAGTGAATTCGATACTGTTGCGGCTGTTTGCAAAAGTAATGTTTGCGTTTACTATTTAAACATGTACTAAGTAAATATGTACTATATAAACATGCGCTATTTAAACATGTCCGATTTCTCTTCAAATGAATAGCAGTTTGATGCGCATACTTAAAACACAACGTTATGAATAAAAATGTTCGATTTCTCTTCGAACGAATACCTAGTTCAACGCGTATTTATTTAAAAGTAGGATAGTGGAGACGCCTTTAATTTGTTTCCAGACGTAATTAACGTTATGGCTAATGAACAAGGCCTGCTAGATTTTTTAATTCTTTGATTTTGTTCAATTTTTAATAACAAAAGACATTAACCCTTTGCACTTGTACAAAGAGAAAAAATCTTATATCTTTTATTTATTATATATATAATTATATATATAATTATAATTATATAATACTAATAATTAATATTTGATAATTTAATAATACTAAAATCTTATACCTTCTATTTATTTAATTATATGTATATATATACTATATATATTATTATAATTATATAATACTAATAATTAATATTTGATAGTATATCAATTTGATATGACCAATAATTTAATAATACTAATTTGGTAATACTAAAATCTTATACCTTTTATTTATTTATTTTATATATTTAAAAGAAAAGGAAACATTGTAACAAAGTTCCCTAGAATCAAATACTAATATAATACTACAATAATAAAATGTAGGATTTCGGCTATGTATATGGCGACATACAAGCACAACGATAAAACGTATAACGTCATCTATACGGCGATATACGAGTGGAAAGGGTTAATACGTCTCATTCGGCAAATGTAAGGTTAACTAGGATAAATACAAGATACGATTAAGATAACTATAAAATTAAACGAACATCAAGAGCTCTCGCAGTTTCGTCGGAAAGAAATTCGGCGGGCAATCCGGAACGCACGACGCTCGAAGAAAAAGCGATGCGATTTGCGTAACCGATTTTACGATTCGTACTCGTCTGGAGATCGAAATTTCGTGTCGTGTAACCGACACGGTGGTCCGATGGAGACTCCACCGCCGCGCAACGTCATGGCGCGTGACGTAATCGGTGCGTTGCGGGGGTCCCCAAGTGTATCGAACGTGAACCGCATGGGAACGCAGGGAGCGCCGTTGCTCGACGACGAATCGACGCCGAGCGATCGTCGCAGATCGCGCGGATCCCGAGCACGTGCCGACCGGCGCGAATCAATCGAGGATCATTGTGATTTCACAGTCGTTGGTCCGGTTTCTAAAACGACGCGGCGCGGCGCAGCGCAACGCGGCTGCCCGGGAACGACGAAGAAAGCAGAAAAATCGTGGCCCGTGTCCGGCACGCGATTTTCATTGCGGAAGATCGCGTGACGCCGCGATCCGACGCGCCTCGTAATCGGAATGATGTCAGTGGTACGGCGTTGGCTCGGCTCGGACTTGGGACTTCGGGCCGCGATGAGGAAAGCCGGTGGTTCCGACGGCTGCAATTGAATCCGGGGGAATCGGTGCGTTTAGATCGTTTAGATCGTTTGATCGACGCAAGGATCCTCGGCCGTAATTACGACGACATCGGCTGAAACGTTCCCGGCCTATGTACAGGGTGTCTCGAAAGTCACTCGCAAAAGTATAAGTCGATTATATTGCAATTCGATCACGTTGCAGCTTGATTATATTGTAATTCAGCTATATTGCAACTCAATTACATTGTCAATTCAGTTACATTACAACTCGATTACATTGTAACTCAATTACATTGCAACCCAATTACATTGTAACTCAATTATGTTGTAACTCAATTACATTATAATTCAGTTACTTTGTAACACAATTACATTAAAACTCAATTGCATTGTAATTCAGTTACATTAAAATTCAATTACATTCTAATTCAGTTACACATTATAACTTAATTATATTGCAACTCGATTACATCGTAACTCAATTACATTGCTACTCGATTACATCGTAACTCAATTACATTGTAACTCAATTACACTGCAACTCGATTACATCGTAACTCAATTACATTGTAACTCAATTACATTGCAACTCGATTACATTGTGACTCAATTACATTGCAACTCGATTACATTTTAACTCAATTACATTGCAACTCGATTACATTGTAACTCAATTACATTGCAACTCGATTACACTGCAACTCATTTACATAATTGAAATCTTTCAGTTAATACAGTTAATAATTATTTTAATCGCTTAATGTAATTAATAATAATAATAAATACTATGTAATTGAAATATAATAACAGCCATTGAAAGTTATTTAGAGCGATAGTTCTTTCGCGGCGCTGCACCATCAGAAGTAGAATTGTAGTTAATTACTGTGAAACGAAGAGAGTCACGGCTCTCAGCGATTGGATTATGTACTCTCTGGTCCGACTATTATTTTCGATGGGATTGCCACTGTTCCGCCAAGTGGTTTTCATTTGCTTTCTTCGGCAATTATACCGCAATTCCGCAAATGATTACACGATACCGATCCCGTAGAACTCGATTGCTTCTCCCATTACACGAACAGGATCGTAAAGCGGCAATCGCGAAGAAAAGACGATCGAAGGTTCTTATCCTATGGCGAAACATACTTTTCTTCGGAATTGTGCTAATTCAATTATATTGCAATATTGTAGCTCAATTATATTGGTACTTAATTATACTGCAACTCAATTACATTACGACTCAATTACATTGAAAATAAATTGCATTGCCACTCAATTACATTGCAACTCAATAACATTGCAATTTATTTATATAATCGAAATCTTTCAGTTAATTCAGTTAGTAATTATTTTAATCACTAATGTAATTGAAACACTGTGTAATTGAAACTTTTTTATTATCATTTAATTGTTTCTTGCTTATTGTTCAATCGGCACAATCCGTCGAATGAATAATAATTACATTGCAATTCATAGTTAACGTAACTCAATTCCACCGTAATCCGTAATTGAATGTAATTCAATTCCATCGCAATCCGTAATTTAATGTAATTGAATTACATTTTAATCCGTAATGGAATGTAATTCAATTACATTGTAATCCGTAATGGAATGTAATTCAATTACATTGTAATCCGTAATTGAATGTAATTCAATTCCATCGTAATCTGTAATGGAATGTAATTCAATTCCATTGTAATCTGTAATGGAATATAATTCAATTACATTGTAATCCGTAATGGAATGTAATTCAGTTACATCATAATCCGTAATTGAATGTAATTCAATTCCATCGTAATCTGTAATGAAATGTAATTCAATTACATTGTAATCCGTAATTGAATGTAATGGAATTTCTTAGTATTATGTAATTGTACTCCTAGTGAATTACAAATTATTTTGTAATTTAATTGAACGACGATCAGAATTTCGAATTGCAATCTAATTAAATTAAATCTAAAAAAATCTAATTAAATTTGATTGACTAATTACAATGTAATTCCTCAATAATTCAATCGCGATTCCACACAACTCTGCTCTCTCCTGCCGAATATTATCAGAAAATTTCTCTTCGTCGAACAATCACCGGCCCGCCTTCGATCGACTAACGCGTGATTAAAAGAAAAACAAAGACAATCGAATAACTTGGGCAACGAAGCGGCACACTGGGATATTTGCATCTTTCACGGTAGAGCGACGCCGCGATCGCTTTTGATTTGGATCCTTCGGCAGGTAAACCGCGATTACGGTGGACGCGCCGATTGCGTAGAATGAACATTATTTCTACGCATTCGGGGTGCCGTTCTGCCAATTGAACTTCAATTGCGGCTTAACCTAGAAAAACCGGGCCGCGAATAACCGCGAAAAAATGTTCGAACGAATCTCGTTGATCCTCCGCGAATTAAATCGTGTTAATCATTCTTTTGTTTTCGTTTTTTTTTTGCGTGGATAATCGAGAACACCGAAAAACCGTTGTCGTTTCATTCCGCTAAATATTTCGGACGATCGAACGCGTATAGTTAAATCGATGCTTTATTATTTATTATATGCTTTGTTATTTATTATTTACAGTTTATTGCGCTTTATTCGACGCGCGCATCGCGAACTATTTTTTCCGACGTTTTTTCTGCGCGAGAAATTATGGTGGTCCACGGTGTTTTCTTCGCTTGTTCCCTTCGCCATGAAAATAATAAAAAATAAATAATAATAAAAATATCATTCTTAATGCAATAATAACAAAATAAAAACTGTCTGCTTCGATTATAAGAATGTGGAACTACTCAGAAATATATTTATTTATTACAGATGCGTTTCTTAAAATTATTAATTAACTTTATATTGTTATATTAATTAAAATAATGTCGCAATGTTTTTAAACTTCTGAAACGATTTTTTCGGTTTTGTATTCAATCTCCAAATTCATAGAATCCGTAGTCTAATTGCAATCGTCGACATTGCTATTTTTCAAGCACTATTTGCTCCGCGGAGACGTTATCGAAAATTTCTCTCGAAGACGAGAAAATTTAATCGTTCGACCGAACGATACGGTAATTGATTTTTCGCTCGTTTCTATTCTGAATCGTTAGCGAGAATGCCAACGTTAAAACCTTGCTCGCGGACAAGTACCACTAAATCCAATTGTTCCATTAATTTTATGGATCGAATGAATTGTCCGCTGATTGGAGGATACTGTAGCTGGAAATTAGCTCGAATTACACGCGATTTTCGTCGACTCGGCACGAGGGGGAACGATTTTCGAGTCGAGCGATCCCAAACACGCCCGGCATTTATTAGAAATCATTCGCACGTCGCCGCGAATTGCAGCTCGTTAGCTGCGGTTGCACTCCAGATACGCCGCGGCACTTGCACCGAAACGCAACACTTGTAACGACGATGCGGACTCTTTCGTCGTCGACGGATCGCCTGCGAAACGACGGTGCACCGTTTAATTGTTTTTATCGAAACACGTCGCTTCCATTTAAAAAGCGGAAAAAGACAGTTCTAAAAAATATCTCCATAATCCATAATTATTCGCTAGTAGTCACTTAAATACAGGGTGTCCCAAAAACGTCTCGCAATAAGCATATTCCTCCGATCATTTGAAGCAGCTTCTTCCTTTACAAAAATTTTCTCCGAGGCACCGTTAACGAGTTATTAACGAAAAACAGTGACCAATGAGAATCGAGTACGGCTGACGCGAGGCGGCTCAGCCAACCAGCGTACGAAGCCCAGTTCCACTCATTGGCTCAGTCGCCTCGCGCTAGCCGAGCTCGCCTCTCATTAGTCACTGTTTTTCGTTAATAACTCGTTAACGCTGCCTCGGAGAAAATTTTTGTAAAGGTAAAAGTTGCTTCAAATGACTCGAGGAACCTGCCACTTTCGGATTGCGAGACATTTTTGGGACACCCTGTATATGGCTTATTATTCACTACGATCTTTTTTACCGTTTGTTCATTTTGAACACGGCAACATAGCTTCGAAGTAGCCCATCGCCAAATCGTCCTAAATTTATATCATCATTTGTAATTATTTTGTTCGAAAATAAAAATTTTTTACAGAATTTAACGTACCTAGTATGTACTGAAATTATGTCACACTTTTTCATCTCTCGCATTTTTTGAGTTATGTTCAATTGAATATGTTGAATTTTTATAAATTTTTAAATATATAATTTTAGTTGTCATATGTTTTTTCCCGCCTTTTGTACGGAAACCGACAACCATGCGTCGCCTCTAAACGAGCAGTTTTCAGATGCATTTGCTCGACCGTTGCATCTCCGATAAATTATGCTTCTCATTTTTCATCGGTTAATAGCGAGACAATGAAAGCGACAGCTAATGTTTCTTGTATAAACTCTCGCAATTGTGGATGAAAACGAATCTTTCAGCCGTGAAACGATCTAGTCGATTAAAATGCATTTATACGCGGAATTCATGTAGTAGTTCATTGAATTTGTATTAGCTTGGTTCATTAAAGATTCTGCCATTTATACAATACATCCGATTTACACAATAGACGTTGATTGAAACAGAAGTTAATATTGAAAGAGAGAAAGAGAGAGAGAGAGTGAGAGAGAGAGAGAGAGAATCTACTATTTATGTACCGCGTACAGAATTATTTAGAACGTGAGACTATTGATAAGAGAGATTATTGATAATGTAAATAAAAAGAAAGAGATTTTATCAAAGAGTTTTGTAATTTATTTTGTTGCTCTTTGTTACTCTCTTTATTAATATTAAATTCGTTGGAATTTAATGGATATTTTTTTATTAGTCTCTCTCGAATCTTCATCATCTAAAAGATTTCTAATTTATATTGTTGCTCTCTTTACTAACCTTACATCTGTTGGAATTTAATGAAAAATTCTTTGCCAGTCCCTCTTTAATTCTTTTCATCGGAAAAGTTTCTAATTTATTTTGTTGCTACTTGTTACTCTCTCTATTAATATTAAATTTGTTCGAATTCAATGAATATTTTTGTTATTACTCTCTCTTCAATCTTTAACATCTAAAAGATTTCTAATTTATATTGTTGATCCCTTTGTCGATCTTACATTTGTTGGAATTTTCCATCGAAGAGATTTCTAACCTACTTTGTTCCTCTCCGCCGCTCTCTTTATCGATCTTAAAATTTGTAGGCATTCAATGAGAACTCCTTTATTAACCTTCAAATACTTACGCTTATCTGGCCAGGTCCAACGATGCAGATGTGCTGCGACGAGGAAGTCCTAATCCTGCAACCATAAGGGATCGCTGTTATTGCGAATATCAACGAACGAGCGTTCGCGTTCGAAGTTTCTAGTTGTTGTCTGGCCGTTCGTAATACGCGTGTCCCGCGTTAGCACCGAATCGGATTTCTAACTGGACCGACAGCGAGGCAAAACAGTGAATGTAGTCGTCCTTCTGGCGAACACGAAAACGCAGTGCGTCACGCGCATTTAACGTTTCCAATACCGTTCCCTCGGCGCCGCGTGAACTCGGCCGACACAGGACAATTACCTTTCTTTCCCCTCGACTACATCGAAGCTTTAAGAACTCGAGAACACTCTGGACCAGGGTTACCAGAAAAAAGTCCGTGTTTCCTCGAGCTGGAGGAGTGGGGGAAGGTGGCAGCGCGGCGCACCGCGGCGGGAGCACGCATATGCGGCTGCACTCCCGCCGTACTGCCTCCCCCCACTCCTCCCAGTCGAGGAAACAAGGGACTTTTTCTGACAACGCTGCTCCCTTGACTCATACGCGATTGCGCTATCGTTAATTAATTTTCACCTTGACGGAAGTTCCTTTTTCTGTGACCACGATAGAACCGTGAATTCAACCGTGCGAGTCGAAAGCGATTAAATCGCGATCGAGTGACGATGGTAACGAAAATAGTTAACGGCAGATTTACGGGGCGATAAAAGCTGCCGTTTTCTATTAGTTCATAACGGTAACAATGTAACGTTTATTCCGATTTTGAACGAGTGTTGCTTATAATATTTGCGATTGCGATATTTGTTGCGAGTAATAAATATAATTAATAAATACGCGAACGAATAAACGTGTGTATTTACGATAACATGAACGTCGGAAATTAACGAATTGGTCACTCGGTATTTTCACGGGTTCCGTGAACCTAGTGTCAAATCTCGTGATGGCGAGTGCTCGATCAATTTCAAAAATTTGATTCCGCAAATTCCCAGCAATAAACGGAAACGAATGAAATCTGAGTAATTCGATTAAACGATTTGATTAAGCAATTTGCACGGGTAATTCGATTAAGTGATTTTATTGTGTAATTCGATTAAGTAATTGGATTAAATAATTCGATCAAGTAATCTGATTAAGTAATTTAATTAAATAATTTTATTAACGAAACTGAAAGTGTAAAGTACAAATTTATCGCATTTCAACCCATATTGCGATAAAAATGTAATAGTAAAAAATAATAAAAAAAAGTAGCAGAAAATTAGTGCCAAAATTGATGCGCGCGAATTAAAATTAACGTAACCTTGCTTTCATTGAAGAGTTCGGTTAATAGTTACAATAATTAAGACTACGAATTTGATGTATTTACAGTAAATAATAAACGAAATACAAGTCAGCGAAGTTATGATTTGAAAGTACCGTTTCGCATACAGGATACGAAGACTTCCGTTTTCTCTGGTCAACGAGGAAAAAGCGATTATGTTGCACAAATATCCGCAGCATATTAAAATAATCATTGATCGATCTATAATGACTCCACTGAGTCGCTTAATCAGTTACCTGTGTTTGATGAGTATACTCGTCATCGCTCAATTCTCGCGACACACACAGTGTGTCCCAAAAATGTCTCGCAATCTGAAAATATTGGATTCCTGAGATCATTTGAAGTGACTTCTTCCTTGGCGAAAATCCAAACGGCGGCTTTGTTTACGAGATATTAACGGAAAACGCTCGACCAATGAGAGGCGAGCTCGGCTGGCGCGAGTCCCAGTTGCGCTGTTTGGCTCGGCTGACGCGAGGCGGCCAGTGGTCAGTGTTTCTTGTTGATAACTCGTAAACAAAGCCGTGGATTACGTTTTCGCTAAGGAAAAAAGCGGCGCCGCAGCTGACTGGTTAAGAGAAGTATTGCAGTTTCGCGACGACGAACGGGCAATTAGAATTTCAGTGGTCTAAACCAGCGAAGATTAATATACACGCGCGCGAGCTTGGCTGCAGCCGGGAAAGGAAATTGGATATCGTGAGTCTAATTATCGGCTGCTTCTCCAGCAACAACGAACGACGCCATCTACGTAGCCCGAAATTAACGGGAGCCTCGCGTAAATCGCACGAAGAGGCTCGGCAATTACGAGTTAAACGATGCCTCGGCGAGCCGAGCCACGCGGCCCCGCGCGCGATTTTCTTTTATTAAAGAACAGCATCGATGTTTACCGCCTGGGACAAATGGGATGAAAGTTGTTACAAGTGAAAATAGTTTATTAATGGTTTTGTCGGGCATGAAGCGCCTTCGGCCGCGAAACATTAATCTCGAATTACCGGCACAGCCGGTGGTTCGGTTCTTCTCGTTTCAATTAGAAAATTCCTGCCGATCCGCGCACCGGAAAATTATGAAAGCTGCTGGTGCCACGGACAGTCTCCGGATCCGCGTCCACCGACACGTTTCTTTCCCTTCCTCTTTCTTCTTCTTCGACGACGACGATCGTCGTCGCTTCGCGCCGGTTTTGCTCGGCCAGAAAACAGTTGGGCCTCGCTTAAATAGCCCGTGCTAACTGAATCGTGGCTAACCGCTTGCCGCGAGTATCTCGGTTTCTTGTGTTGCCTAGTGATCGGCCGGCACCTGGTCCACGGCCCCGTCTCTTTCCGCCTCCTTTCTCGTAAAACCGAACGTCCCGTCGTCGCCCCAAATTCAACGTTCGATCCTCTCATCGATGAATACGCTGCTCGAACGAATTACAGTGAATTTTCTGTAATTGATTGTACACGAAAATGGACAATTTGGGAAGAGGAGGTACGATTGTTTTTATAGTTACCGATTGTCAGTATGGTCATATTATATTGACAATATACATGACATATATATTATTATATTGACAATATATATGGCATATATATTATTATATTGACAATATATATGACATATATATTATTATTATATTGACAATATATATGACATATATATTATTATATGTATTGACAATATATATGACATATATAATATTATATTGACAATATATATGACCTGTCTCTTATACACATCTAGATGTGTATAAGAGACAGGTCATATATATTGTCAATATAATATTATATATGTCATATATATTGTCAATATAATAATATATATGCCATATATATTGTCAATATTATAATATATATGTCATATATCTGTCTCTTATACACATCTAGATGTGTATAAGAGACAGGTCATATATATTGTCAATATAATATTATATATGTCATATATATTGTCAATATAATAATATATATGCCATATATATTGTCAATATTATAATATATATGTCATATATCTGTCTCTTATACACATCTAGATGTGTATAAGAGACAGGTCATATATATTGTCAATATAATATTATATATGTCATATATATTGTCAATATAATAATATATATGCCATATATATTGTCAATATTATAATATATATGTCATATATCTGTCTCTTATACACATCTAGATGTGTATAAGAGACAGGTCATATATATTGTCAATATAATATTATATATGTCATATATATTGTCAATATAATAATATATATGCCATATATATTGTCAATATTATAATATATATGTCATATATCTGTCTCTTATACACATCTAGATGTGTATAAGAGACAGGTCATATATATTGTCAATATAATATTATATATGTCATATATATTGTCAATATAATAATATATATGCCATATATATTGTCAATATTATAATATATATGTCATATATCTGTCTCTTATACACATCTAGATGTGTATAAGAGACAGATATATGACATATATATTATAATATTGACAATATATATGGCATATATATTATTATATTGACAATATATATGACATATATAATATTATATTGACAATATATATGACATATATATTATAATATTGACAATATATATGGCATATATATTATTATATTGACAATATAATGATTTTATATATTATACAATCTATAAGCGTCAATTAGTTTACTGTGCATCGTAGGAAAATTTTGGAAGAAAAGTTAGCCAACTTCGACCGACGACAACTCCGCGAAAAATCATCGCATCGCGACGATCTCTCTTTCAAATTAAAGCTTGGAACCTCTACTTTGAGGTAAAGTTTCTCGATTTCAAGTTCGACGCACTCTCGCCACACCGTGACTCTTTAAATGCGCGACCATGTTCGAAAACGATATAGCAATTTACGTATCGAAAATTGCGAAGTTTGACGAAATGCACGGACTGCCTACAATTTTTCTCCGGGATGCCGTTCGCGACGGAACGAACCTCGATCCTTCCCCTTCAATCTGAGAGAAAAGAAACCGGGCTGCGATTTTTTTTCGCGAAGTTACAGCACTTCGAATTAACCCTCCGTCCGAGGTCCTTCGGTCCGCATGTTTCGCACCGATCATAACGTACTGAAATTAATTCGTCTGAAATCGATCGCGTTAATTCGGACCATCGTTTGTCCGAATCGGCCGTTCCGCCCAAGAAATATCAATGGAACAAACGCCGATGCAAATCCGCGCACTTTCCTGGCCCGATTTATGGGAGCGGAAACGAAATATCGCGATGAATGATTTCTGGCTAAATAGGGGAAGAAAAGTGGAATACGCCGTAAACACGTAATTAAAAGTTTCTGTTTTATCGTGTTTCGCTCGGAGGCGTCCGGAGGAGGAGGATGAGGTTGTACGAAAAATTGTTAATTGGCCGCGATAATGATAAGGAGAAGGATCTCGGAAGTGGAACGGGCCGGAGGAGCGATTCTCGCGGAGATTTTTCGTTTCGCTTATTTTTATTAAAATCACGGAAATAATAATCACGGCGAGATTCTCGACGACAGGCAACACGATCGGAATGATATCTCGGATTAATCGGTTTCGTTGAAATGTATCTTCCTCCCGGAATATTCATAGAGCGCAATTACTAGACTGTGAAACTTCCTACGTAAATTCTAATTTTCACGAATTCATGTATAGAAATTTGAAGGAGAAGATTTCTTTCACCGGTCGGAGAATTCGTTGCTGCGAACGCAGAAGTTATTATAATTGCATCACGTATTCGCCGTAAATGCATAAAATCTGCAATTAATATGTCTGAATAAATAAATAAATAATCGGTATAAAAATACCGAATAAATAATAAATTGGTATATAAATTCGAATAAACGATAAAGTAATAAATTGGTGTAAAAGTAAATATTGGAATAAATAGTGAATTGGTGCAAAAATAAATATTAGAATAAATAATAAATTGGTGTAAAAATAAATATTGAAATAAACAATACATTATCGTAAAAACAAATAAATAATAAATTTGTATAAAAATTCGAATAAATAAGAAACTGGTGTAAAAATAAATATTAGAATAAATAATATATTGGTGTAAAAATAAACATTGGAATAAATAATAAACTGGTATAAAAATAAATACTAGAATAAATAATAAATTGGTATAAAAATTCGAATAAATAATAAATTGCTATAAATATCGGAATAAGTAACAAATTTGTATAAAAATGGTAATAAATAATAAATTGCTATTCAACTCCCCCGTGCGTTGCAATTTATATAAAAAAAATATGCATTTCCCACAAAGATCCGCGACCTAGTTCTCACTTTAATCGTCTAACAATATTCCCCGGTTCTTTCCAGATCGTGCGGAAGTGTTTGTCTCCGACGACACCGATCTACTGTTTGATCCTGTCGGTCGTGCTCGGCACGGTCCAAGCCGAACGATGGTCGCGACAGGTCTCGAACAGCGAATGGATCCCGTTGCCGGATCCAAGGACGACCCAGACTCAGGTAGAGCATAGCAATCCAGATTCGGGGCTGGTGGCGAGCGGCACATCGCAATTGCCGCAAGTCCCGCAATTATCCTTGCCACCGGCGCTCCAGCAACAGTACCAGGACCAGCTTCTGCAGCTACAAAAGACGCAGGAGAATATACAGAAGCTGCTGCTACTGCAACAGCAGCTGAGAGCTCAGCAGCAACTTCTTCAGGTATTTTATCGGAGCGATCGACGCGGCAAGAGCAACTTGGATTGGTTAAAAAAAATTTCGCTTCGGCGAAATTCTAGTTTACAGAAATTTATAATAATAATTATATAATAATATAATAAATTAAATAATAATTATATAATATAATATAATATATTATATAATGTAAATATTTTCGTAATGCACGGAATTATCACCGATCAGACGATTACGACGATTGATAATTAATATCGTTGAAACGATTGATTAAGACGAGTATTTATTGTGTAGTTACATATACCAAAATTATTTTATATTCCAAAATTACGTTACTTCCGGGAAATTAGGGATTCCCGAGGTCATTTGAAGCAACTTTTTCCTTTACAAAATTTTTCTCCGAGGCATCGTTAACGAGTTATCAACGAAAAACAGTGTGACCAATGAAAGCCAAGCTCGACTGGCGCGAGGCGGTCCAGTCAATCAGCGCACAGAGCTCAGCTCCACCGATTGGCTCGACGGGCTCGCGCCGACCGAGCTCGCCTCTCATTGGTCACTGTTTTTCGCTAATAACTCGTAAACGAAGCCTCGGATCGCATTCGCGGAAAGAAAAAAGTTGCTTGAAATGACCTCGGGAAACCCCTCATTTCTCGGAAGTATCATAATTCTGAGACATCTCGTATATACATTTTTCCTTTTTCTAAATAATACATTTCTAATCCGGAGACCCAGCAATTGGTACGGGCACAGAAATTAGGACATCTAGCGTGTCAAATTCAATTCTATTCGATAGCACTATCATCGCAATTGCCCGGTGAAACCCTAATCCTTCGTTAAGCGTTGCAAACGTTACAGAGAAGTTTTTGTTCCAGCAGTCCCAAACGTTCTTGCCGAGCGGATTCGGGAACGCGGAGGAGGAGAAACGGTTGCAGCAAAGTGGATTAGGGCATCAGCAAACGGACTTAGCCCCGGAGGATCTCGTGCCTCCGTTACCGGCCACGGAAGCGTTGCCCCCGGTATTTCCGGCGCAGAGCTTCCTTCCGGCTCAGCGAACCCGGGCTCATCCGCCGGCGAAACATGACAACACGAACGTTCCGCAAGAATTCACGGACTTGCCCGGTCAGAGTTTCAAGCTGCAACAGGGCCACAATATCGGGGACGCCGATGAGGTTCGCGAGAGCCAGCGGCCCGGCGGCAAACACTTGAAGGAGCAGGCAGCTCTGATGGGACAGGCGCCGACCGGCCAGGACGAGGAGGAAGAGGTTCGTTCGCGATGAACGATTCGCATAGATTATAATCTATTAATTCTATAATTTATTCTATTCTATAATTTATTATAAGTCGACGATAATAATAACCCTTGCACTGTTCGTTATAATCTATTAATTCTATAATTTATTCTATTCTATAATTTATATTATAAGTCCACGATAATAATAATATGCACTGCGATTTACAGTAATTTCTCTTACAGAAATGTTCGGAGGTCGGAATTGAAACCGGCAGATCCGAAAATACTAAGTCCCAATTCTTCGGGCCCCGCGGCTCGTTTTTATAGAAGTTCCTTTATGCATGTTCAACGAGGTAGTCGCATTCTATTGAACGTCCTCATTATCAAGTCTGTAAAGAATTGAAGTTAACGCGCCTATTGAACTATATATCTACCATATTTACCCCTTTATCGGAGAAAACATTATGAAAATAAACTCTCTAGATTCCAAAGAAAAGTATCACGCAATTCGAAATTCTACACTAATACAAATACATCGGCGATCGGAGCTCGAAGCAACAACGTCTCCGAGGAGACAAACATAACCTAAAGAGCGTGTTTCAGAATAGTCCCTGCTGTTCCAGGTGCAGCTGATCTACGTGCCGGCGGAGACGTTGACGCAGCGTGGTCAGAAGCGCGGTCGCGGCCGGAAGTACCCAATGCGTCAGCAGCAGTCGCACCACCAGCACCACCACCACCACCAACAGCAACAACAGCAACAGCACCGTGAAAATCCTGGCGTCGAGTCGAGCAACCAGGACGCGCTGACGCGTCAGATCCTGCAGCAGATCCAGCAGGAACGAGAGGAGAAGACGCAGTTCCTGAACGAGGAGAGGATGAAGGAGATCGCGCGGCTGAACGAGGAGCAGAGGGCGCTGGAGCGGAAGGCCCGACTGCAGCAGGAGGCGGTGCAGCGGGAGCAGGAGCTGCAGCGGCAGCGGGACGCGGAGAAGAAGAAGAAGGAGCTGGAGAAACTGGAGGAGATGGCGAAGCAGCGGGAGCTGGAACGGATCCGGGAGGCGAGAGAGAAGCAGCGGCTGGAGGAGCTGGAGCGGCGGCGGCTGGCGGAGATGAGAGCGAAGGAGGAGAAGCGGAGGGCCGAGGAGGCCGCCCGGCAGCGGGAGGCGGAGAGGCTGGCCGCGTTGGAGAGGCAGAAGGAGCTGGAGATCCAGGAGGCGCTGAAGCAGCAACGGATCCTGGAGAAGCAGCGCGAGGAGGAGGCGGTCAGGGCCGCGAGCCAGGCGCTGGCCGAGCACGCTCAGGCGCTGCCGCTGACCAGGGACCACCAGGACTTCCAGCGGCAGCAGCACCCGGACTCGGGCAAGCCGGTCAGGAGCAAGGTCCGAGGCAGGCACCGTCAGCGGAACCAGTTCCAGGAGCAGCCAAGCTACAGCAGAGAGGCCACGACCACGCCGTCCCCTAATCAGCCGCCGCTCTCCGTCTACATGGGCAGCAGCCGCGCGAAGCCCAACAACGCCAGAGTGTCCGACGTGCTGAAGCTGCTGAAGGACGCGAAGACGATTGCGGTGCTGGACACGGTCGGCCCCGACACCCCCCAGGTGTTCGTCGGACCTACCAACCTGGACCCTCCGAGCGGCTACGCGAAGTTCGATCTTCCCTATCTGTCGACGATCGACCACAACAGGGTCGAGAGGAAAGTGGACAAGTTGCCGTTCTTCGTGGCTCCTCTGAGCTTCGATCCGCCGCCTGGATACTCCAAGATCCCGTTCCCGGCGCCCCACATTGGCTCCGTGGTCGTCAACACCTTGGACAACACGGACCCGAAAGACGGCGACGATCAGAACCCAAGTCCCACACCGCTGATCGAGCCGAACTCATACAGCGACGGGCTGGACGCCGGCCTCGACTCCACCACGCCCCTCTACGAACCGCAGACCACCGCCGGCTACTCCCAGGAACCGTCCAGTACCCCCAAATACGAGCAGAGCTACTCGACCACCCCGCAGCCCGGCTACTCCGGCTCCAGGTTCAGGTTCAGGCAGTACTACGGCGACAACAAGCCGGCCTCCGTGATCAGCACCGGCTACTACGAGGATCAGAGACCCGCCACCAGGAAGCACAAGTACTATGACGATGGTGCGAGGTCCACCGAGAGGCCTAGAGGCGAGACCTCCGGCGGTCAAATCGAGCAGGTTTCCTACGCGACCACGCCTAGTTTCAAGGACGTTCCGGTCGGTCCCCAGGATCCTTCCACCAAGGAGCAGGACCTGGCCGCGCAGCTGGCCCTGATCAACCAGGAGCTGGCCCAGCAGAGGGAAGCCCAGAGGTACAATGCCGCGGGACAGTATGGCCCGGACAACTCGCCGACCGGTTTGAGCAACGCCTTCGAGGGCGACGTCTCCGCCGGAGAGGTCAACGAGGTCAGGGGACCCGTGGGGCCCACTCAGTATAGCCTGCCGGCTGAGCTACCGGCGATCTCACCGCACCTACCCGGACTGGTCAACTCGTTGCTGGATAAGAACGAAGGCAGGCTACAGGCCAGCACCACAACTACTACCCCGAGCACCACCACTGCGACCAGCACCACTGAACGCACCCCTACCACCACGTACAGGCCGCGGGGGAGACCGCGGTGAGTGGTACTGCAGCTTCCGGGTACAACGGTGGGGTGGTTGCTGTTGCAATCTGTGGTTGCTTTGCTGTTCTTTGGTTTTTGGATGATGTGATTGGAGCGCCCGGATTTACTTTATTTGATTTGACACGATTTTTGTTTCCTTTTATGCGATTTTTGTTTAATTTTACACGATTTTTGTTTACTTTTACGCGATTTTTGTTTAATTTTACACGATTTTTATTTACTTTTAACGCGATTTTTATTTACTTTTACACTGATTTTCTTTATTTTTAATACGATTTTTATTTACTTTTACACTGATTTTATTTAATTTTACACGATTTTTACTTATTTTTAACAGGATTTTTATTTATTTTTAACACGATTTTTATTTGTTTTTATACAATTTTTTATTTACTTTGACACGATTTTTATTTACTTTTGCACAATTTTTATTTACCTTTACGCGATTTTTATTTACTTTTACACAATTTTCATTTGCTTCCACAAAATATCTTTATTCACTTTTACTCGATTCATATTTATTTTTACACGATTGTTTATTCACTTATGTACGAGTTTCTAACATCGACCATTAATTTCGAAACATTCTAAAACCATTTTCACATTATCAATAACAAAAATCTCGACTTGTAAAACATTCACCGCCGATCCCCGATTATTTATATTATTTTGTAATTTCTTCATTTTTCAAATCGAAGCCAGCATTCCTGTTTTCGCCCGATGAATAATTTCTCGAGAAACACCCTCCACCGCTGTTACCTCGAGTTTCGAGAGTCGTCGAACTTTCCGCTTTACGTTCCCGCGAGAATCCCGTCGCAGAATCGATCGCTTTCGAGGGGCGGGGGCGGGCAGGCGGGAGTTTGAAGAAACGACGTTATTCGGAAGAAAATGTTTCGCTTGCTTTAGGAGCCGAGTTTCCACGGTGAAACCGAGGACGACGACCCAAGCGCCGACCACGAGGATAAACGTCGACAGGAATCGGAGACCGTACAACAGGTCCAGGTCTAGATTCAGCACGACCACCGAAGCGTACCAAGAATCGTACGAGCCGACCAAATCAAGGATTCCGGAAACAACCGTGAGATATAGCACCGAGCACAGGCGGCCGACCAGCAGGACACAGAAGTTTAGGACTCGTGACAAAGCCAGCCAGCAGTCCGAGGTATTATAATTTTCCCCGACGACTTTTCACCTTTCCGCCTACGACTTTTCACCGTTTTCACTAGCGACTCGGTCCGCGACTTTTCAAACAACGGATACTGACAAGTTTTTATTAGATTTCCAATAGAAATTCTAGATTGTAATTAATTTTATATTAGGGTGAAATTGATTCTAACAGATTTTCATATGAAATTTATATTTTGTATTTTATAATATATAAAATTAAGGAGGCGATGTTAATTGTAATGAATTTTTATTATAAATTTCAATTGTAACAGATTTCTAATGGAGATCTAGATTGTAATTAATTTTAAATTGGGGTGATATTGATTATAATAGATTTTTATGTGAAATTTATTTGTTATAAATTTTTCTTGTAGATTCCAATGATAATATAATAGATTTTTAACAGAGGTTTAAATTAATTGGTCTTGGAAAAGGGGGTGCTGTCAATTGAAATGAATTTTCATTATAAATTTCAATTATAACAGATTTCTAATAGAAATCTAGATTGTAATTAATTTTAAATACGGATGCACAATTAATTTTAAAAGTGGATATAATCGATAACAATAAATGTTCGTATAAAATTTATTTCTAATAATTTAGTATTATAAATTCAAGCGATGATATAACAGTTTTTTTAATAGAAATTTAAATCTATTAAAGGAGGAGTCTTCTCTTAAATGGGGTTGATGTCAATTAGAATGAATTTTTATTCTAAATTTGAACTGATCAATAGATCTTTAATAAAAATTTAAGTTCTGCTAGACTTTTAACATGAGTAAAAATTATAATATATTATTTACAACTCTTTTTCATCGGGGCCGGGAGAGGGTGGTTAAGAAAAACATGATGCCTCTACCATGGCAAAGACCATTTCAGCCTACTAAAATTAATCTTTTGGCGTCGCTTTAACCCGCAGACCCACGTGCAGAGTCCTCAAACGCAGCAGACCTACGAAGAACCCAGTGACGCAGGCTCCCCGCCGACGGGATCCGGTTTCCTGCAGTCACCGGTTCCGGAAACGGTTGCTCACCAATTGGACGCAACATCCAGCCTGGGCGACTTCACCCCGGAGAATTATCCGCCGAGCACCGTCGGCACTACCGAGAACTATCCGACGGTGAACCATGGATCCTCGTCCTCGCTGCTCTCTGAGGACTACGCGAGGACTCAGAACTATCCGCAAACGGTCCCCGATCAGTCCCAGTATCGCGGCGGTTACGAGGAGGTCGTCGAGCCGACCGGTCTCGAGAAAACGCCGGTGAACGGGTTCAATTATCAGGCTCAGAACGGGGAGGTGCTGGATCAGGCGATCCTTCAGAGACCGAAGGACTACCAGCTGGACGGAAAAGCGGAGAACAGCGACTTCGAGCTAGCCACCACGCCGGACCCGCGGTTCAAGACCACGGAGGAGCAACGTTACTCCCCGATTTACGACGCGAACGTGCCGCAGACCCAGCCGGAGTACAGTCTGACCGGGCAGGACAACCTTCATCGATTGGAGAGCGAGAAGATCCAGACCAGCGTACTCGGCGACGACCAGAACCAAGAACCTATCTTCGTCCCGCTGCCCGAGAACAAGCAGGAGGACTATGTGCTGCCTGTTTCCTCGACAGAGCTCCCTCTGACCGAGGTGCGCTATCTTCCGTCGTATTCTTTCGAAAATTATTCATAAAAGTAAAATTGTTTACAAATTATTTGTTTTGAATTGTTAAAATTGTTTGCCATAATTTGCGAGATGGGCGGATAGGATGGCTGACACGATTTCTGTGCCAGTCGCAATTTCGATGCCCTGATTTCTGTGCCCCGCGATTCCTGAGGTTATTTGAAGCAATTTTTTCCTTTACAAAAATTTTCTACGAGGCACAGTTTACGAGTTATTAAAGAAAAACCGTGTGGCCAATGAGAGGCATGGTTGCCTGGCGCCAGGTCGAAGCCCAGCTCGTTTCCCATTGGTCAAGCGTGTTTCGTTAATAACTCGCGAACGATACCTCGGAGAAAATTTTCGTAAAGGAAAAAGTTGCTCCAAATAATCTCAGGAATCACGGGACACAGAAATCGGGGCACAGAAATTGCGACTAATTTTTTTCAAATAAAGAATCGCTCCTTACCGAGTATTAACATAATTATGGGGCACCCTGTGTAATTAGATGAGATATTAAGATACCTATCATATTAAACGTTTTTACAGTTTCGTATTTGATTTATTTATTTATTTATTTATTCAATTCATTCATTCTTGTCATAAATGCACAAAATACCGATGAACAGACCGCGCATCTTTCTGTGAAATAAAAATTCTTTGCAACAACTGCAAGATACACGATTTATTTATAGTTAACAATAATAATAATAAATTATTAATTGCAATTTATTATTAATAGTATTATTGATTATTAGTTATTATTATTTATTATATAATTAATTATATTATATTATATAATTTAATAATAAATAATAATAACTAATAATACTATATTAATAATAAATTATAATCAATAATACTATTAAGAATAAATTGCAATTAATAATTTATTATTTATTATATAATTAATTAATTATATTATATAATTTAATAATAAATAATAATACCATTAATAATAAATTATAATCAATAATACTGTTATTAATAAATTATAATTAATAATACTGTTATTAATAAATTATAATCAATAATACTATTAATAATAAATTATAATCAATAATACTATTAATAATAAATTGCAATTAATAACACTGTTAATAATAAGTTATAATTAATAATATTTTTTTAAAATAGATTATAATAAATAATTTTTTTCTCAATAATTTGAACGAGTTCGTTGTAGATTACAACAGAGACCACTACGACAAGCACGACGCCGGTGGTGATCCGTCAACGGGTCCGTGGACGAGTCGGCAGCCGTTCGAATCAGGAGCCGTCGGTTCAGACGCGTAACAGAGGCACGCAGGACGAATACGTGCGTTTCAACGTCGTCAATCAAGACTCCGGTCGAACGTCCCCGGGTCGACAGCGGGCCAGATCCAGAACACGTAATCAGAGCCACGGATCTCAGGTGCAGACCGACGGGAACGAGTACATCAAGATCCACGCGGTGCAGCAGCAAAGGCAAGTCGCCACGGCGACCACCACGCCGCCGACAACCACCACCGTCGAGAGCCAGCCGGAGGAGGACATCGACTACGGATTTATAAGGCCGCCGAATTTCCGGCCGGTGCATCCGGTTGATAACAGGTTCCAAGCACCTGTTACCTACCGGCCGCAGATCTCGGAGGTCAGTTCGCCGGAGTTACCGAAACAAGCGTTAACACCCCCGGCCGTTGTTCGAGCGTGACTTGCCCCTCGGTGCGACGCCAATGCGCCGATTCAGTGGTCGGCGCAGCGGAAGCACGTAAATCGGCTAGCGCGAACTTATCGGCAAAAGTTTAGAAAATTTGTATACTGCTTTAAAAAATCGTAGCCGAATTCAATTTTTTTTAAATTAAAGGGGTAGAATCGAATTTTATTTCAGTGCAAACGGCGTCCCGGAAAAAAATTTAACAAAGTCCGTGCGATTTGTTAAACTTTGTAATTTTCAGTGTGACAAACACTGCAATTTTTAATACGATAAACGTGGCTTTGTATTTAAAGGGTTACAGTGGCGACGGTGCGTCGAACTTAAAATCGAGAAAGAGTGTCTTTAAGTAAAAGTTTCGAGCATTAATTTAAAAGAAAGGTCATCATTCTACGATGGTTATTCGCGAAGTTATCGTCGGTCAAAGTTGGACTACTTTTCGTCCAAAATTTGTCTACGATAAATAATCGTTTCTTTGTTTCTTTGATTATTTTGCTGCGTTGAAACTGATGCAATAGTATTAGCAAAGTATTTTTACTGTTTTGTATTCGATCTACTAATTTTTGTCGGAAATATCGTAAAATCCGCGGTCTATCTTTCAACGATAACGTTGAAAAAATATTATAACGTGCTGGAATCGATTATAGCATAGACTTTTGCACGAAAAGTAGGTCAAGTGTGACCGACGATAACTCCGCGAAAAATCATCGTAGGATGATGATTTTTCTTTTAAATTAAACCTTGAAACCTCTACTTTAAGACACTATTTCCCGATTTTAAGATTGACACGCCCTCGTCACTGTAACCATTTAAATGTGAGGCCATATTTATGGTATGGAAAATTGCCATGCTTGTCACATTGAAAATTGCGAAGTTCGACGAAACGCGCGGACTTCGTAAAATTTTCTTCCTGGACACCGTTTATACTGAAATAAAATTCGATTCTTCCCCTTTAATTTAAAAAAAAGCGAACCCGGCTATGATTTTTTTTCGTAAAGTTACAGCACTTTGAAGCGACCCATTTCCACAGCATTTTATATACATGAAATATGCAGAATATGCATCTTCTGTACAGCACTATTGCAAAGAATATGACTATGCAAAGACATGCAAACTATGCAACAAAAAAGAAATATAATCTTTCGTCTCCCTTATAAATAATCGTTTATCTCCTCCAATGACGAAACACGTTTTGGTCAGTTTTATTTGTTTTTGGTTCATTTCTCGAAAACGTGAAATAATAGTTACAAAATATTCAATAAAACACAGTTTTGCCCTTTCATGGGCACGATATGAATGTTCAAAAAGTTGGAATATTCGCTTACCATAATTTTATCATCTAATAATATGCTGTTATTCGCATTCCTGTTACTTTTAATTTTTCACCCCCCAAAATTAGGAGTGGTAGGACCTATATACAGGATGTCCCAAAAATGTCTCGCAATCCGGAAATGGGATATTCCTGAGATGATTTGAAGCATCTTTTTCCTTAGCGAAAATGCGATCCGCGGCTTCGTTTATGAGTTATTAACGAAAAATGTTGACCAATCGGAGAGCGAGAATGCGGTTGACACTCCGCCCTTGCGGCCAATACCGCGTCGTGCCGGCCGTCCGACGCAGCGACAGTGGTCGCGAGCGTGGGGCGTCAGCCGCACTCGCCCTCTCATTGGTCACTGCATTTTCATTAATAACTCGTAAACGAAGCCTCCGAGAAAATTTTCGTAAAGGAAAAAGTTGCTTCAAATGACTTTAGGAATCTCCCATACTCGGAATATTTGAGCCTGGCGTTCATATGCGCACTAAAAGTTCCCAAAGTAAGTAATAAAAAAGTAACTTAGTTCGCAGTGCCTATGAAAGGGTTAAAAAAAACAGGAAAATATCGTAGCATCGTGTTTGAGATCGTCTGTTCGATAAAATTGCCAGGTGCCGCAGCAGTCCCTGCTGGCGAACGACGAGACCGCGGTGGAATCGAGCCCGCCGCAGGCGCAATTGCTGAAAACCCGTCAGAAATACCAGTCGGCGCCGAATCGTCGGCTGCCGGGCAGGCCGACGACTTTGCCGCCGCCGACGACGACGACGACGACGCCGATCCACGAGGTCGCCACCACCACGGAAAGGATACCTGTTGCGACGGTGTTGCCGGAGGAATCCGTGTACGCGGCGAAGCCGAAAACGCGGCCCGACGACACGAGACAGACGAGGGTCAGAGGTCGGGCACGCCGGCCCGGAAAGAAACGAGTGTCGACAACCAGTACGACCGAGTCGCTCCTGGAGTCCCACAACGAGCTGCCGCTGGACGAGAATTATCCACGCGTGAGGACCCAGTCGACTACCACCGAGCACCAGGCCACCCTCTACGAGGACAATTACGACGGCGCCCCGCAGTTCCCGCAGAATCGCGAGCCCGGCCAACAGTTCTACGAGACGTCGAGCGAGAACGTGAGAATTATTTGAAAAAATTTAATTTATTATTTTATTAATTTTATTATTGACTTTATTGTTAATTTGATTATTAATTTTATTACTAATTTTATTACTAATTTTATTACTAAATTTATTATTAATTTTATTACTAATTTTATTACTAAATTTATTATTAATTTTATTACTAAATTTATTATTAATTTTATTACTAATTTTATTATTAATTTTATTACTAATTTTATTACTAAATTTATTATTAATTTTATTAATTCTATTGTTAATCGTATTATTAATTTTAATTTAATTATTATTTGAAATTTAAAGTAAAAGTAACCGCGAATTTTTAACGATTTATTATATAAGAAACAATAATATAAGAATAATTTGATAATTAAAACGCATTCGCGAATTTTTAACGATTTATTATATAGAAGCAATAATATAATAATAATTTGAAATTTCAAACGTATTCGCGAATTTTTGACGATTTATTAAATAGGAACAATAATATAATTATTATTTGAAATTTAAAACGTATATAGTCGCGAATTTTTAACAATTTATTAAATTGAAATAATAATATAAAAATTATTTGAAATTTAGAACTTATTCGTGAATTTTTAACGATTTGTTAAATATAAATTATAATATAAAAATTATTTGAAACTTAGAACCCCATTCGCGAATTTTTAACGTTTTATTAAATATAATAGAACACGATAGCATAAAAATTACGGTAGTCTCAACGAATTAAAATGATACAAGGAATAAATGAAACGTCTATCCGGCACTAATTTCTAGCGATTATTAACGCGAGAGATTTTTAATTCGCATAAAGATCCGCAGTCTACTTACCAGCCTTAGTCCGATTGCGCCAGCAATTCAATTTGATTTAATAGCCGAAGATCGAGCGGTTCAAGCGAATGGTTTAAATACACCGGGTCAATAATAGAAACTGGAACACTGAAAAACCGCATAGATTAGAAAAGAGTGTTTGGATCTCGGAGAAGGAGCTGGTTAGAAATTCGAGAGCGAACGGCGTGGCGGCACCGCCGACCTGGTTTCTGTTTTGTTTTATCGATTTCGGCATGCGAACTTCGTTACGTGGTCGCGGGGCGTGAATAATGCCAGAGATAATGAGTTTCGCGTAAGCCGCGATATGGGAACGTAAAGAGATCTCGGTAACCATGCTTTGCTTCTTTTCTCGTTGATCTACAAATGGAATCGACAATCTCGCGTCGCGCAACGGATTACGTAGCTATTTGCCACGAATTCGCTGATATGTTAATATAATGAGGATATTTCTAAATATTAAAAAACAGGTATTGTTGTTATTATTATTATTATTTGCGTTATGTGTATAAGTATTAAAAATACATGTAAAAGAAACTGAGAACGATCGAAAACAACTTAAGGATCATGGAAAACTATGCGAAACTATTAAAAAGTATTAAAAAGTATTAAAAGTATTAGAAAGTATTAAGAAGAATTAAAAAGTATTAAAGAGTATTAAGAAGTATTAAGAGGTATTAGAAAGTATTAAAAAGTATTAGAAAGTATTAATAAGTATTAAAAAGTATTAAATAGTATTTAAAAAGTATAAGAGGGTATTAAATAGTATTTAAAAAAATATTAAAAAGTATTAAAAAGTATCAAGTGGTATTAGGAAGTATTAAATAATATTGAAAAGTATTAGAAAGCTTTAGAAAGTGTTAAAGAGTATTAAAAAGTATTAAGGAGTATTAGAAAGTATTAAAAAGTATCAAAAAGTATTACAAGCTATTAAAAAGTATTAAGAAGTATCAACAAGTATTACAAGCTATTAAAAAGTATTAAGAAGTATCAAAAAGTATTAAACAGTATTTAAAAAAGTATTAAGAAGTATCAAAAAGTATTAAACAGTATTTAAAAATGTATAAAAAAGTACATTAAGCGTCCCTCCACCGCGAGCACAACCGTGCAAATCTTCGTACGTCCACGGTCGTCTTAAACTACAGGATCGTTACGTTCGTTTCAGTACCCGTCGGAGTTCATCCTGAACTTCGGCAATTACCAGGAGCAGCGGTCTCAGAGGGACGAGTACGATCAAACGCAGCTGGCCAGCAGCTCGCCGGAAAAGTACGGGGTGCAAAGCGAGCAGAGCGAGCCGGCTAGCAAGGACGGATCGGACGATTCGAGCCCGACGACGGTCGACATTTACGGAGCGGAGAGCCAGTGGTCCACGAAATTGACGAGGACCTCCTTCCAGCCTAGCTTCGCGGTGAACCAGGTGAACCAGGGAGCAGGGGGGAGGCCGAGGGAGCAGTGGCGGCTGCGCGGCGGCGGCGGCGCCTCGAAGGAAGCGAACGCTCCCGAGATAATTACCGCCGGGCCGGAACTCTCCTCCGTGACGTTGCTCGTTTCCTCGGACGACAAAAGGAGCCCAGAAGACGGCATCGGGATCGACGAGGAGGAGTCGATGCTGATCGGCACCACGGTGTTCGGCAGGAAGACCGGCGCGCCGGATCACACCGAGAAGATGAACGACAGCCAGGCCGTCACCGGCTCGCCGATCTCGCCGAGCAGAAAGAGGATCGTCGGCGAGCCGGATTCTTGGCTGATGGACAGGCTCGAGCATTCTGCGGACCAACGGGCCGCCATCGATATCGAGAAGACCCGGAAGAAGAGCTCCGACGCGCCCGCCATTAAGAAGGTGAGACCGTCCGATCGACCGTAGGATTGAAACTGGCATTCCTGAGGCGATTTGAAGCAACTTTTTCCTTTACAAAAATTTTCTCCGAGGCTTCGTTTACGAGTTATTAACGAAAAAGCAGTGACCAATGAGAGAGCGAGTGCGGCCGACGCTCCGCCCTCGCAACCTCGGGCGGCTGGCGCGACGCGGTACTGGCCGCAAGGGCGGAGCGCCGGCCGCACTCGCTCATCGATTGGACACTGCTTTTTCGTTGATAACTCGTAAACGACGCGTCGGGGAACATTTTTGTAAAAGAGAAAGTTGCTTTAAATGATCCCAGGAATCATAAATCAATCTATATATACATAGAGTGTTCCATAATTATTATTATATATCAGTATTATTAGTGTATCAGTATTATAATATATTAATATATTATTACAACAAAGCTGTAAAATTATAAACGAGTCAAATCATCCCAGTCGGTAAATCCAGCGTTACAAAGCCACGATAAAATAAACTGTCTCGCCATCTCGCTCTCGCCTTTAACCGTTCCACCGTTTGTTCCAGGGTACCCGAAGGAGGCGTGTCCGGGTGCGAGTGCGTCCAGCAATGGAGGACTTCGTGACCGCAGAATCGCAGCACTATAATTCGGCGTTANCCGAGGCTTCGTTTACGAGTTATTAACGAAAAAGCAGTGACCAATGAGAGAGCGAGTGCGGCCGACGCTCCGCCCTCGCAACCTCGGGCGGCTGGCGCGACGCGGTACTGGCCGCAAGGGCGGAGCGCCGGCCGCACTCGCTCATCGATTGGACACTGCTTTTTCGTTGATAACTCGTAAACGACGCGTCGGGGAACATTTTTGTAAAAGAGAAAGTTGCTTTAAATGATCCCAGGAATCATAAATCAATCTATATATACATAGAGTGTTCCATAATTATTATTATATATCAGTATTATTAGTGTATCAGTATTATAATATATTAATATATTATTACAACAAAGCTGTAAAATTATAAACGAGTCAAATCATCCCAGTCGGTAAATCCAGCGTTACAAAGCCACGATAAAATAAACTGTCTCGCCATCTCGCTCTCGCCTTTAACCGTTCCACCGTTTGTTCCAGGGTACCCGAAGGAGGCGTGTCCGGGTGCGAGTGCGTCCAGCAATGGAGGACTTCGTGACCGCAGAATCGCAGCACTATAATTCGGCGTTAAACGGCTTGATCCGCGAGCAGTACAAGTACAACCCTATGCGGGAGACGAGGCTGCCGACGCCGCAGCCGATCTTGTCGGAGAAGTCCGCGTTGCAGGACTTCCTGAAGGAGATCCTGAAGACCGAGGAGCCGACGATCAAGCCGCCGACAACGACGACGACGACGACGACGAGCACCGAGGTGCCGGAGCCCGCCTGGACGATGTCCCCGGCGGCGACGACGATCGCCGTCGCGCCAGCCGATTCCGAAGGCAGCACCGAGAGCCAAATGACGACGATGCCGCCGACGACCGTGCAGCCGGAGGACGCGACGACCGTGGGCCCGCTCGGCAAGGGACCCGCGCAATCGGTGCGGGCGAAGGGAGCGGCCGAGTCGAAGGCTTACGATGGTGACATGGACGATGACCGAAAGAAGAAGGCGGTTCCTTGGGACGGGAATTGGAGCGAGCGGGCAGCCTTGGACCTGAACTTCCTGGCAGATAAATACAAGTCGAAGGAGAACGACGTGAAGCTGGCCGACGACTGGGAGACGAGCCGCAGCGACGAGCAGCCCGACAGGACCCGTTTGGACGACGCCGGGTCGGTCGAGGAGGCCGAACGGTCGAAGCAGCTGGAGGAATACGGCCACCCGAAGAACCATAGAGCCAAGTGGAGCGAGGTGAGGCTGCCGGCGGCGTTCGAACCGTCGCAGACCTGGAATCAGGACCCTAAAACGAGCGCCGGGACCGGCGCGGCTATCCCGGGCCTGGTGAGCAAGAAAGAGGGCGACGCCAGCGTGAAGACTCTCTCGGATTACGTGAAGGCTATCTTCGACACCATGAAGAGCGTCGAGGAGGAAACTGCGGCTCCCAGCACGGAGAGGCCCGAGGAGATAGCGACGACCTTGCAGACGCCGCCGGAAGCGGACGGCGAGTCCCCGACGACCACCGTCGACCCCGAGGTCGCGACCACCGTGCAGACCGTCCTCGACGCGGAGGACGCGAAGACCGAGGCCGGCCAGGAGGTCATGGAGACCACGACGTACGCGGACGCGACGACCTTGGAGCGAGGCGCCGCGAGCCAGGAGACCACGCCCTCGCCGACCGAGCCGCAGACGACGGACCCGCCCACGACTACGACCACCATCACGACCACCGCGAACGCGACCGACTCGATCCTCGGCAAGATCCTGCGGACCTCCACGACCACCAGGGTCTCGCACATGACGGAGATCTGTTACAGGGGCCGGTGCGTGATGACCAGGCCCAGCCAGGACGACCGGCTCAGATGAGCCGACCGGGCGCCGAGCTACCGCGGGATCGTCGTTCTCGCTCTTCCAGGTCCGGAGACAGGCCTGTTCAACCTCGGGTCTCGCGCAGCCAGCTACCAGAAGCGACGGAATTGATGCAGGCGCGGGCGGACGCCGCACGCGGCACCGGGAGCGCCGGAGGCCGGCTTACGGAGCAAAGTGGGTGGGGGCTTGGACGCTAAACTAACATCGGTTTAGTCTCGTAGTCGCGACAGCTCGAAGTTCCGTCGCTTTCTTGAGTCGTTAACCGGACCGCGGATATTTGTGCAAGATTAAAATTGTTGATCATCGTTATTAGAAACGCAAGTCGGGTGAACAAGTATTTTCTGTTTTAATCGTTTTAGTGAGCTGTACATAATGTCAAAAATATTCCCGAGTTCTTCTCGTGTTTTTACAGTTTCGTTCCTGATGTAATTATTTTTGTCAAAAGTACATAAAATCCGCATTCTTGCTCCTTTTTAGGTACCTATCGGTAACATAGGATATTAGAGTCGGTTATTGTGCGGTGAGCAATTGTTACACGTCTTTGCCATGTTTTTTGGTAGAATAAACTTCATATTTGTCCAATAAGATACATCAAATTTGTTCAAACAAGCTAAAACAGTGAAATAATTTAATATGTCGTATTTGATCGATATTAAGTTAATTACGCCTGAAAATAAGCTAAAGACGTAGCAATTGATAACGGATTTTCAAGGAGCCAATCACATTTCAACACAGGATTATAGAATTCCTGTAAAAGTGGCGAGCGTCCATCGTCTTGACAAAATAAAAGCGACGAACTTCGAGCCTGTTTAAAACGAACGTTTTAGTCGGTACCTTTAAACAACTATTATACAACAGTTTCAAATAATTAATTTCGTTTCAAGCCCTTGCTCCGATCGCTTCGTAGACAATCTTACTGTTGCTCGAAGCAACAGCGACAGCGGATCAGGCAGCGGCTCCTTTGCGGCACTGATTGGTAGGCGTCGCCTAGTGGATGTAGCCGCGTGGGCGTATCTGAGTGGGCGTAGCCGAGTGGCGTAGCCACGTGGGCGCGGCCGAGTGGGCGTGGTCGCGTTGCCCTCGCTGGAGTCGGCGCTCCAAACGGGGATCTATGCCCGCGCCTGCATAAATCGATGCGTTGCAAAGTACACGATCAGTTCGGTAGCACGCAAGGCCTTTCAGCCGCGGCATTAACTTTATCTTCGGGGCGTGTCCCGAGTAAGAAGCAAGCTGGGAGAACGTCCAAGGCGGGCCGCCACCTAAATCTGCAACGCGCTGTCTGCCACTTTTGGTTAAGGCTCCGAATTCTGTACATACGACAGTGAACGCAGCGAGAGAGCCCACGGTTGAACATACTTGTTCGAAAGGGAACGGACCTGTCCAACGGGCCACGTTCGTCGCGGTCCTTCTCTCTTATTTATTCAAGCGGAAACGAACGTTCTCCTCTCGTTCAGCCCTGGAACTGCCGAAGAATCGAGGCGACCGGTCTGCAACATCCCGGCCGCGGGCACCGCGGACGCGCGTCCATTTTTAATTTATTCGATGGTTCCATCGCTTCCCGCTCCGGATGCGGCTTGGTGAATCGACATCAACGCCAGAACCGCCGAGCTTTCGACTAGCCTAATTCTTATGGTTTTATAACAATGATAAGATTGGATCTACTTAACCCTTTGCCCTACAACCATGTCTGAGAGACGAAGAAATCGGGACAGAAATGATTACCACGTTTGAGAGGCGTGGTAAAAAATCGGGCTAGAAATGATTATCACGTCTGAGAAACGTGGTCAAAAATCGAGCTAGAAATGATTGTCACGTTTGAGAGACGTGGTCAAAAATCGGACTAGAAATGATTGTCACGTTTGAGAGACGTGGTTAAAATATCAGGCCGGAAATGATTATCACGTCTGAGAGACGGGCCAGAAATGAGCGCCGTGGTGCGTCAGTCGGGCCAAATATAAACATAACTAGTTAGGCTCGTATTAGACGTGTTTTGTGTATTTTTATTTTTTAATTTTCTTATTAGTAGCCGAAGGAGGTGGTGCAGGAACCAGCTTGAGACGAAATAATGGAATTGTAAGAATGCAAAATATACAAAAATATTTAAGTATACAAAAATACTGTCAGATTTAAAAGAGTGGAATAAGACAGAAGATCAGAGGGACCAGTCCGCGGTAGTTCTGGCGTTGATCAGCGGTTTAAAATACGGGAGCTCGTTGCACGCAGTTAGGGTACACGCCAGGGAATTTCGCGAGGCTGAGCAGTGAACCTGTACATTTCGATCGACGGAGAGTGGAGTCCCATCGAGTTCGCCGAACGTGAAAACGTTGAGCATAGTCTAGAAACGTGTTGCCCTGGGTGTCAGTCAAGGTAGGACTGGCACGACGAGAAAAGTGAACGAAGAAGAAGAAGAAGACGAAGAAGAAGAAATCGAAGAAATCGATCGCTTTGTTTGTCAAGCAACCGAGGCGTCGAAGGCGACGGTTTTTGGCAGCCGGTTGGTTCGAAGCGTGATCGGGAAAACTGAGGCAACAACGTCCGACTATAACAGCCTTATACGACGTACAGAGTGTCCCAAAAGTCACTCGAAATTGAAACGAGGGAAACCGAGGGGTTCCTAAGGTTCCTCGGGTGATTTGAAGTTACCTTTTCCTTAGCGCAAATGCAATCCGCAGCTTCGTTTACGAGTTATCGACGAAAGACGCTCGACCAATGAGAGGCGAGCTCGGTTGGCGCGCCGCGGCCGAGCCAATGAGCAGAGCGGAACTGCGACCGCACGCTGGCTCGGCCGCCTCGCGCCAACCGAGCTCGTCTCTCATTGGTCGAGCGTCTTTCGTCGATAACTCGTAAACGAAGCCTCGGAGAAAGCTTTTGTCAAGGAAAAAGCTGCTTCAAACAATTTGAGGAATCCATCGTTTCCCTTCGTTTCGATTTCTGAGTGATTTTTTGGACGCTCCGCACATGGTCCAAGATAACAGCGTTGCAACTACGCCTGTCCGACGAACGTTGCGTCGTTTGGCACGATTACGGGCCAAGTCTTATTTAACTGAATTACATGCCGGCCGTAGCCGGGTCGGCGTACGTGTAAGTTAAGCGTTTAAGGTTATTTTAATAAAAATTTTAAGAGAAAAAAACACTGCCAGTCCAGCCTCGATCTCGCGCCCGATCCGACGCCCGACTCCTTTGGCTCCCTCGCCGATGACCCACTTTACCCACGCTCTGTATTCACCAATAATCCGACAGGTAATTCTACATCGACAAACAAGTCGCGAACGCCAGATAATGGTTTTCTCTCCCGGGCCTCGTTTCCGATCCGATCGATCCTCTTATATCAATATTCTATGCCGCCGCCACTGCCGACGCCGCTGGACTGCCTCTGCTCGTCCCAGTAATCGTAATAATCTGCTAATTCGATTGGAACACTTCAACCGTAACAACGGCCGCGCCTCGGCATCCTAACTAGACTAAATGGAACTTAAAAGCGTGGAAAGATTCAGGGATGAGTTTAGAATATCGACGTGTGATTTATCGTTTTATTTTGAAATCGCTGATGGGAGAACGGTGTTCCGCGCGGCGACCGCCAGATGCAAAACAGTAAATTTCTACCTTATCGACGCTCGGATTGGCCAGGAAAAATTGACAATTTGGGAACAGGGGACACGATTGACACCGTTCAGCGCCTTATCAGTCGACCACCGAAATTTCCTCGCGGTCAAATTTACAGCCGTTTAACGCTAGATTTACGGTCACTAATTTTTTAATTTACGATTACATTAATGTCTCTCTAATTGACGCTCAGATTGTCCACAAAAATGGACAATTCGGGAAGTAGAGATACGATTATTCGAGCTTTGCGGTTCGTTTTCACAGTTACGAATTGTCAAGAACTATACAAAACGAGCTGCAAGACTCAAATAATCGTATCTCCTCTTCCCGAATTGTCCATTTTTGGGCGCAATCTGAGCGTCAATTAGGGAGACATTACTGTATTCGTATCGTGAAGATGCATTTACGAGTTATTTATTCGATTTATATGTTAACATAAATTTCAGAATAGATGTCTTATTGTTACTTTTATAAACTAATATGAAACAGCTGTTCTTCGTGCTCCATAAATCTAGTGTTAATTAATGAAGCCGAGAGAAACTAAACTTTAGAAACTGAAAATTTATCACGATGGATGATATTAGAACTCTTTCGCATCCGAAAGATCCTAATCAAATTCAGTTTGTTTGAATATATTACAATGAAAATGAATGTTCAAAATTAGTGAAAAATTAGTGTCGTCCATATGTGACCGACGCGGTGCTCAAACCGCTGAAAATTAATTTTTACCCGTTTACAGTAGAGACGTAAGAGCACCTAAAAAAATAACGTCAGTTGAAAAAATTCGTCTTTATCGCCAATATTATTTATTGATCTTTATAAAGAAAAAATTGATATTTTCGCCATTTATTCTGCAACTGTCTCAAACGAATGCGGTGCTTTTATAGCACGAAAATGTCTAGAAATTTGAAAAAAATGGACCACATAGCCCCGATTTTCCTCTTTACAATGGATTTTTCGAAAATAAGGATACTTTGAAATTGACCGAATTAAAATTATTTAAAGCGCACGCTGCACCGGCCTGCGGCGCGTTGCTGCCTTCCGGCGCAGCAAATTCTCCCCAATTGACGCTCAGAATATGCAAAAATGGACAATTTAGGAACATTATCCGTTTCTATAGTTACCATAGCTTCTATATTTACCGATTATCGACAACCATAAAAATCTCCACTCCTCAAACTATCGATTTTCGTGCGCAATCTGAGCGCGAATTCAGCAAAAATCACCGTACTCGGAACAACAGTTGCCACTTCGACGTAAATTTTCGAGGTTAAAAAATGCTAGCGCCACGTTCCCTCTATTTTTCCCTTATTCTACAAGGTTTCAGCTTCGACGTGAAAAAATCCGCGTCGCTCCACTCCGTTTCCGTCGAAAGTTCTCGGACTTTTCGTTCGACCCCGCTACGCGGCGTTCCTTTTCGCAGCCGCGGGGTTGTAAAAAAAATTTTTTAAAAAGCGCCGAGTGTTTCCAAATGTTTCAAAGAGACGGTCGAACATCGTGCGTGTAACAGACGAGGAGACGAGTCCGACAGAATCCGGCAGAATTCGCCGGATTTCGCCAACATCCCCTAATTCTCTCTGTAAATTTCAATCAGCGTGGAATCGCCGGAAGATTAGCCGGAAGATTTTTGATCGACGATGACAGTGCTCCGATGCTGTTAATGCCCCGACGTACCGGGATCTCGCGGCGATTCCTTCGAATTAAGGTCAAATTGTCTGAGAACATCCGCCGAGAGCCGAGATTCCGGAGCCATTCGAGCGTCGCCCGAGAAAAGAATGGCGGCGAGCCGGTCGTTCAAGCTGAAGGGATTAAATGACTCGGCGGGAAACAGCGCCAAGAGTAACGTTTCCCTTATTGTACCCTTGATGTTCTTTGTGGACGCGATTCCGGGAGGTGGGAGGGGGAGAGGGAGCGCACCCTCTCCGGATCCCTTTCAAGAGGAAAAATGGACGAGTCGGCCCTTTCGCGTTCAATCGAGCCGACAAAACTTCGCCGTTCAAGTTCGATGGAGTTCACAGACCCAGTTGCCTTCGCCGCTAATTAACCCCCCATTGTTTTTGTCGAGCGTTTCGCGGATACTCTGCCCTCGCTACGGGTTAACTTTGGTTACGCAATCCGACGATCTCGGTTGCGCTGCTCGGAAACGCTCGATTCGGACGACGGATTAAGACTAATGAATCAAATTTTATACGGAGCTATCGAATAAATGTTGATGAAAATTTATGTAAAAATAATAAACATTTATACAACGCTGTTGAATAAATATTTAAATTAATAGAAATATTTATTTAGATAAACGTTTATAGGACATTATCGAATAAATGTTCAGTCGAATAAAAACTTATGTAGATAATAATTTATCCGATATTATTGAATAAATAATGTAATCGATATTCGATATAATGTTTATTATAATATTTATTATATTCGATATAATAATATCGAATAAAAATTGATGTAGATAAACATTTATACGAGCGAATAAATGTTAATAAAAATTTATCTAAAAATAAAAAAC